ATTGTCAACTTGACACAGCCTAGAGTGCTCTCCAGGGCAATTTAGACTTGTCTGTCCCCAACCAAATGTTCCGGAGTAACCCTTCTACATTCTAAAGAGCAGACAAGTAATGTGTTCACATCAGTCCTTTCTAGTCTTCGGGGCCAAGATGTGTGTCCACGGTTAAGACAGGAATTATGGATTGTTGCTTGAGGGACTTACTGGAACAGTCAATAGGAACCTTGAAGCCAGTGAGGCTATAGGGGAGCAATACCAAGTGGGATGTTATCTGCTATGGCCTAGTTGTCATATACAAGGTAGCAGTGGAGTCCTAAAGGGAACATACATTATTTCAAAAGCATTGAAGACTATTCCAGAGAAAAGGAGAAACTTCAGATCTGCATATGGCCTCTTCCTTCAGAAGCTTGTGTTTGCTAATTTGTCACAGACATTATAATGGCAAGAAGATCATGGCATTCTCTTGTGCCCTTTAGAGAACAGCTTTCTAAATAATTAGCCAACTTGGAGGGTAGTTATCTCCACTAAGACCCAAAGGCTAAGATGCACCCCCTCTTGCCTTTATACTAGAAGATCCAGAACACTCAGTCCTGGGTGCTCTCTCGTTCCTTTGTTCAGCCATTATTTGGGGGTAGTGGAGAGGGGCAAATGGAAGCCACATCTCAGGAAAGGAAGGGTTCTTGTGGGTCCTGCTCACTGACATTGCTCCCCCAATCATCTCTACTTCCCCCATATTATGTTGGATAGGAAAACAGAGCCTTGGCCTGGTAGGAGGGGCTGGTAATCACATGGCGCCTTCCGTGAGACATGACAGAAGCTGGCAGCATGAAAAAAAAAGAGAGAGGTTGAAAGTCCATGTTAGGACCTCTGAGCCTATGTATCTGGGAGAAGAAGCAAGTCCTTCATCAGAGTACCCACTTTGACTTTTTGGGCAGGAGAAATAAATCATTTAAAAGTAAACAAAAACATGTATTCAAGGGTACAGCTTACCCTTTTCTGCCTGATACATTGTATGATCCTGCTTTGGCATTTTCTCCAGTATAGATTTTTGGCATTCATTTTCATTTCTAAATTATATTGCATTGAGTATTATAGTTACTCAAACTTTTTCAACAGATAGGACACAGACAAAAGAAATTATTCCATCCAAATATAGGTTAGTGAGCCAGTGAGTTTACTGGCTTTACTTAAGGAGTATGAATGAAAGATCATTCTTAGAAGCATGGAAGAAGGCAGCTGCATCACCAAAAAAGCCCACCCTAGCCCGGGTGACAACTTGTGAAATCTGTATCCCTTCGAGCTCCCAGGACTATTTGCAGACAGCTCGGCAGTTTGGACAGTCTCTTCTCTTTCCAGAGCTAGCCTATATAACCTTGGGAAATGGGTCAATAAATCTTGTAGATTTCAGGAATTTCCTGGGCTTTGCATGTCCTTGGTCCAGCCAGTTTCCTCCCTCCCTCCCATAGGAAATGTTTCAACTGGAGAAAAGAGCTATGAAACAGGCAGCCCTCTTACATTTTGTGCTCCAAATAAGTGCCCCCTCTTAGTCCTGGTTCTGACGATAGGATAACTGCATGCTTTTGGACTTGCATGTGATTATAGCTCAGACTAAGTCCAAGTATAGGAGGACAATGGGAGCAGATGTGGTGCACCTGAAACCCCCACCAGCTATTGTGTTTAAAACAAGCAGCCCATCCCAGAGAGGACTAGACACAAGCCTATATTAGGAATAATGCTGTTATAAGCATTTGCCTATCTAAATGGGCATAGTTCCTTCGCAACTAGAAATGACTGTTTTGAGCTGGGCACAATGTCCGAACCTATAATTTCAGCACTCAGGAGACTGAGACAGAAAGATGAATATGAGCTTGAGGCCTGGGTTACTTAGGGAGCTCTTGTCTTAAAGAGAGAGAGAGAGAGAGAGAGAGAGAGAGAGAGAGAGAGAGAGAGAGAGAGAAACAGGAAATGACTGTTATGTCTTCAATCAATCTGAACTTAAATTTTCATTTGTTGAATGATATATCAGTGCCCCAAGTTACAAGGTTGAGTAAGACCTAGAGATTACAGTTAAAAAAAATATTTTATTTTATATGTAGGTATGCGTGCCTGAGTATGTGTAAGCATACCACGTGAATGCGAGAGCCCATGGAGGCAAGAAGAGGGCATTAATCTCTGGAACTAGAATTAGTTGTTGTGAGTCATCAGGTGAGTGCTGGAAACCTAACCTGGGTCTTCTGCAAAAGCAGAACCACTGAGAAATCTCTCCAGACCCAGAGTTTACAGTTCTTAGAGAATCCAATGTAACACGAATCGCTAGATGATCTTATTAATAATAATAAAAAAAAAACCCCAGAGGCAGATATTGGGGTAAACACTGAAAAATCAGAGAAACAGAACCACAGCTAACCTCACCTCAACAACTTCTCAGCCGATCCTGTTTCCTCAAACTGGAAGCCTCTGAGTCCTCATTCAAATGTATCTCAGCTGAGCTGCTGCTAAAAGCCTAAAAGCTTAAAAAGGCTAAAAGCCTCTAGTTCCTGGTCCTCATGCTTTATATACTTTTCTGCTTCCTGCCATCACTTCCTGGAAATAAAGGCATGTGTCTTTTCCAAGCAAGACATGAGATCTGGGATTAAAGGAGTGTGTCACCATGCCCAGCTGTTTGCAGTATGGCCTTGAACTCACAGAGATCCGGATGGATCTCTGCCTCTGGAATGCTAGGATTAAAGGTGTGTGCTACCACTGCCTAACCTCTATGTTTAATATAGTGGCTGTTCTGTTCTCTGACCCCCAGATAAATTTATTGGGGTGCACAATATATCAACCACAATCCAAGGCAATAAACATTCAGATAAAGTTTGTACATTAAGAAATGAGGAAACACAGAGATACAGGCAGTGGATGTTTTGCTTTTCTAGGCAGAGCGGGGGTATAAAAGCATTAACGATATGGTGAATTGAGAAAATGCACTTTTGTAGAGGAGTGAGGGAGATCATAATCACTTTTCCAAGTACTTAAGAGAAACTTTTTCCAGGGTGATGTTGCTTAGGGAGTAAAGGTACTTGCTACCAAGCCTGATGACCCAGGAAGAAAATGGAAGGAGAGAATGGACTCCTGCAAGTTGTCCTTTGACCTCCATGGTACGCTTACATACATAACTTCCCACACTCAAAATATGTGCATACATACATACATACATACTTGTGATTTTAAAAAAGGAAACTTTCTTTTGGAATTTATAATCATCAAGGAAATGTAGTAACTGTTACACTCACAAGCTTGGGAAATTAACATTTATTAACAAATAGGAGGGGTGGTTTTGGAGATGAGGACCACTTCACAGAACTTAGATACAGATAACTAATGCACCATCTCACTGCTAGTGAAGTAAGTGCCCGGCATGTGAAGTCCAGGTCTTTTGGATTTCCCAAGCATCTCTATCAAACAGCCCCTGTGAAATCAACGGAAAAGAAGAATTGACTCCTTGGTCCGTGATCCCATCCACACTTCTCCCACACCCACCTTAATATTATTTCTACAAAGCTGAAGAATCACATCTTCCCGTCCTCCAGTGGTCTCATTCAGTTCAGCCCCTCACGCTTGTGGTCCCAAATCTGAGTTTATAAAATAAAAATTAAAAAATTCAATTTCCGTACAATTTACCCTTAGGCTGAAAATTTGCCATGCCAACCAAGTAAAGTGAAAGTATCTGATAGAAACCCATCAGAGGGGTAGGAGAGATCATATCCTCTGTCCTCCTAAAGTTAGAAGCAAGTTTGAGGTCTCAAAGACAGAGTCCACCACTCCAACTATGTGTCTGGACAAGACAGATTTATTCTTGATCAAGAGGGTGTGCTCAGAAGAGCCGACACCTCCAGTCAGGCAGTGCATCTGGCTTTTATTCTAATTCTGGTAGTGACTGTGTCTTTCCCATTGGTGGGGTCCAACCTCACAGTCTTAGGTCAATTGGCTAGTCTGAAAAAAAAAAAAAAGGCACACAGGAAACATAGAGGAAGGGGGAAGTCACAACTCCAGGCTGTCAAATTACTGGAAAGTGTTGTTTGCTGTTTTGTTTTTGTTTCCAAGTCAGGGTTTCTCTGTGTAGCCCTGGCTATCCTGGAAGTCACTCTGTAGACCAGGCTGGCGTCCAAGCTCCAACTCAGAGATCTGCCTGCCTCTGCCTCCCTGGTACTGGGATTAAAGGAGTGCATCACCACCACCTGACTCAAATTACTGGAAGGTTTTTCTGGTGGAGGGGATTAAAACATTTGTATAAAAGTCTTATGAGATGGGGGGATAAAGAAAATTAAATTCCTTGTCCTAAACACAAGTCTTATAGTACTTGATGGAAAAGATTCATATTTGATTATTTCTTACACTAAGTAGTTGGGAGAAACTTTCTCCGGGATGCGGGTAGGTTTAGAAACCTAGGGGTAAAAGCTTTGGAAATTAACATTTGTTGGTTATCTAGACAAGGAATTTACCCAGAGATGATTTTCATTTTTAGGACCATTTTGCTTTGTGGGCAGTGGTAGAATTATAGCCTCCCGATTATTTCGAAGTTGAAGTGCCTTCCCCGGCGTCTCTCTCCCCGCCATTCCTTCCCTACTAAGTGGAAAAGAGCCGCAAGGCGGAGTGCGGGTGGGGGTGGGGCGGGGGAGTCAAGTTCCTGGACTGGAAATGCAGCCGTGGGTTTGGGACGCAAAGGAGGCCCGGGATGATTAGCGTGAGGTTTAGGTCGAGGCTTTGAGGATACCACATAGAAAATGGCAGGAAGAAGAGAGAGAGAGAGCGAAGACACGGGGACAGCCTGGCAGGGTTCTGGGCTGAGCTTGGGAGACGGACGGGCTGTGGAGGGAAGTGCGCATCAGCAGAGAAGCAGACGCAGCGCCAGACAGCCGCAGGGCGGGCCGCGGGGTGGGCGGGGCGCCCAGGGGGCGGGGCCGGCTGACAGTTACATAACTAACCTGTGCAAGCGGCCGCCGAGCGGTTCGGGCGGCGGGGGCGGGGCCGGGGTGGTGCCGGGCTGCGGCGGGCCGGGCAAGATGGCTGCCGTGGAGGCCGAGATCGGGCCGTTCACCCTGGAGTCGCTGCCCACCGACCCCCTTCTGCTCATCTTATCCTTCGTGGACTACAGGGACCTAATCAAGTAATGGGGCGGTGCTCGTGGCAGGGGTGGGAACGTGGAAGGAAGCGGCGAAGGAGGCAGGGAAGGAGGCCCCGGGTCGCCGAGACTGGACGCCGCGGGCTTCCTCTGCAGCAGAGGGTGACTGCAGGGCAGCCGTTATCCTGCAGAGCCACCTCGGGGGGGGGGGGGGGCTGAGGGAGACGCGGAGGAGGGGGCTGGGCATTCAGGCCTTACTCCTGCCCAGGTACCCGGGGACTTAGCGCCCTCTCCCTCCAGCCTTGGCTAGGCCGGTTTGCCGAGGAGAGCCGTGGCTCCTTGGCGCAGCACGCCGCGGACCCTCGCTGGCCCTTTGGGGCCTGGTCTGGCGCCGTGGACAGGCCGCTGTCTCGGCCCACGCGCGTCCCTGTCGGGCCTGGGGTCCAGGATGACCAGAGCCCGCGTGGGCAGGTAGAACGCGCGCCAGGAGGCCTGCGACCTTCCGATTCCCTCTGATGCCCCCGTGGTCATCGGCAGCATGCACTTTCTCTTGTGTTTGCGACTTTTTTGGCTGTCAGTTTTGCTCCTTACGGTGGGTGGTTGGGTTTCGTGTTTTGTCACCGACTTCCGGTGAGGCCTTACAGGTGACTGCAGTTACCTCAAGGCCTTCCCAAATCACCAACGTTTGCTCCAAAAAAAATAAACAACCGGCCTGCTAGTACGGGTGGCCAAAACCCAATGCCCAATTCTTTCAGAGAACGGGACTGTTCCGGTTGGAGAAAGAAATGGCGCTGCTGTGCTCCCCCCGCCCCGCCCCCCCCTCCTCCCGTGTTAGGATTGTTTACATCCTTGACAGCATGGCCAGGGGTTCTTGTGCTTCCGTGTATGTTTGTAGAGTAGGCAAAAAGGCCCTCTCATATGGCGGAGACACAGTTTTGGTTTTTGATTGATTACTGGAGCCTGGCCGTTTGATGATTGTGTCCTCGGGTTTTAGGGGCCCTTTAGAGGTACAGATTTCTTGGAGTTACAGTTTGGTTGGCCTAGCTAAGTGGTGGCAGAGGTATTTCCTGGGTTTTCTGCTATGGCCTCCACTCGTACCTGCTAACACTTGTTTTTTTTTCCAGAAAACACATTTCCCCCTACTTCAGCCTGTACTAAAGCAGAGAAAGTTTTTCTGTAGAAAAGGCTGTAAAGCTCAAATTGATTTCATCTGGAATACTCTCTTGCTGTAACTTACCTTGACAGCCTTCTGTCTTTGATCGCTGCCACAGTTACCTTCCGAAGACGCACCTGGCTGTCATTCTTAAAAGCCCGTAATAGCCCGTTTACAGACTGTACCCTGAGCTTCTGCAGTATTTCAGGCCCTTATCTTCTAGCTTATTATCTAAGCCTTTCAGGCCTTCCTCCACTATCGTATTTGCACAGTCCATTCTAGCTAGAGCAGACATCAGGTGGCGTGCCACACACTTGCACATTGTTGTGTAAGCTCTGCTCCTTGTCTGGAAGAGTTCACGCTCCTCAACTTGGCAACCTTACTCTCCCATCTCCCTTAGCTGCAGTTTGTCCTAACAGTGTGCACTTCTAGAGTGTAAGGATTGTTTATTTTTGTATTCAGTTGTTCAATCAGGTTTTTTTGGAGTGCCTGCCATGTGTTGGTTAAATGTAGACATACAATAGTGAATTGGAGAGATAGGGTCTTTTTTGACGTAGCTGAAATACTGTAGACAAGATGGAAAGTCAAACAAGCGCATAATTACAAGAGCGGCCGCGCGTGCGTGCGTGCGTGTGTGTGTGTGTGTGTGTGTGTGTGTGTGTGTGTGTGTGTAAGGAATACACAGGTTGCACTGTTGGAATGTGGAGGTCGGGATGACTAACTCGTGCAAGATGAAAGTGTGGCAGAGTGCTGGGAATGTGTCCTAGTGAAGGGAATGGTGTGGAGAGGCTCGCGGTCTGTTAACAGTAGTGTGGCCGGTTCAACTAGAAAAACTAGAAAGCTGTTTTTGCTAAAGGTAGTAATGACTAACAGGCAGGCTGCATGAAGGGTGCCTGAGATCATGTAGCCTCTTGGAAGAATAGATTTTTAGTGCAAAGCTTTAGGTAGTAATCAGAATTTTAAACTGAAGTGACGTGACTCCTCCATAAATGTTTGGGGAAATGAGTGGAGTTGAATACTGGTTTTGTCTACAGACTCATCCAGCATGCTGCAGCGTCTTTCTTGCCCAGTGCAGTCCACCTTTGCCAAGTGTCTCACCTGTTGCCAGGGCCTAACGGTTTTGGTGCATATTTGCTTGACTGTGGTGGGTTAAACTGTTTTAATCTATTGGGAATTTAGTTTGATTTGAGATAGTGTGTTACTTTCTCCTTATTACTCACAGGGCAGTTATATTAACTCACACATTAAAGGATTTGACAAGATACTGCATTGCAGCTATGTAGGTAGTAAGTAGAAATAAGAGAAATAAAGGGCATAAACAGACTTTAACAGTGACTATTTGAATCTTTGTCTTTACGTTTTTCTCCCTTTTGTTGTGACTGAATCTGGTCACCGCCAGTTGTTGCCATGTCAGTCGACGACTCAACCAGCTCTCAACTCATGACCCTTTGTGGAGAAGACACTGCAAGAAGTACTGGCTGATAACCGAGTAAGCGTTTCGTGAACATTTGTTCTTTTGTGGGTGTAGGCTACGGTGTAGGTTTGTTTGTTTGTTTTAAGAGTAAATTTTTCATTGTTGTTAGAGACAGCGACTCATTCTCTAGTCTGGGCTGGCCTCGACCCGTTGTTTGAATTCTTAAATGGTCTTACTAATAGAAAACCCTGAGCCAGATATTGGGGTGAATGCTAAAAGATCAGAGAAGCAGAACAAGCCACAGCCAACCTCACCTCGCCAACTCCTCAGCCGATCCTGTTTCCTCAGACTGAAAGCCTCTGAGTCCTCACCTGAAAGGCCTCAGCCAAAAAGAGCCTTTAGTTCCTGTCTCCTCACGCCTTATATACCTTTCTCCGCCCTGCCATATTACTTCCTGGGATTCAAGGTGTGTGCCACCACTGCCTGGCTCAGTTTTCTCTCCTAGACTGAGTCAATCTCATGTAGTTCAGGGTGTCCTTGAACTCATAGAGATCTAGATGGATCTCTACCTCCGGAGTACTAGGATTAAAGGTGTGTGCCACCACTGCCTGACCTCTATTTTAATCTAGTGGCTTGTTCTGTCCTCTGATCCTCAAACAAGCTTTATTAGGGTACACACTGTATCACTACAGTGACCGTGTGGCAGCGCTTCCGCTTCAGCCTCTGCTGTGTTGGCATTACAAGGGTGAGCTACCACACTTGGCCCTAGAGCAGTGGTTCTCCATCTTCCTAGTGCTGCGACCTTTTAGTACAGTTCCTCATAGTGTGGTGACCCCCAACCATAAAATTATTTTCATTGCTACTTTATAACTGTAATTTTGCTACTGTTATGAATTATAATGTGAATATCTGATATGCAGGATGGTCTTAGGGGACCCCTGTGAAAGGGTCATTTAACCCCCGAAGGGGTTATGACCCACAGGTTGACAACTGCTGCACTAGAGTAATTTTTAATTGATATGCAATAATTGCTCATGTTTATGGGATAAAGTGTAATTCATTACATATTTACAATGTATAAGAAGTCAGGCTAATTAGTATTTCCAGCTCCTTTAAGTGTGTATCATTTCTTTGTATTTGGAGTTTTCCAGTACCACTTTCTTAGTTCTTTATAATATGTTATAAAACATACAGTAAATTGTAGTAAACTGTAGCCATTGCCTACTTCTCCTTTCTAGTTAACTCTGTTTCCAGTGATGTTCTGAACCCCTTGCTTTCTTCCCTTCCCAGCCTCTACTGCAGAATATATAGTTTTGAATCCTGACCTTTGACTACCATAATACTATGTACTAGTTTTCCTTTCTAACCCAGTTTCTGTTACTGGGTCCAGTCAAAGTTACCACATAGCCAGAATAAAAATGTAGATGACAGTGAGATTTAGGAGAAGTAGAAGAAAAAGCAGGGATACCTAACATGTTTCTTCAATCGTGGGAAGTCAGGATTGCTAAAGTTGGTGGAGAACTATAGGCTCTAAGTGTGTGTGTGTATGTAATATAGTTAATATATATTTAATATTTAATATATTTTGGGTTTTTGAAACAGGGTTTCTCTGTGTAGCCCTGGCTGTCCTGGAATTCGCTTTGTAGATCAGTCTGACCTCGAACTAAGTATATTATTTGAAGCTGAAAGCATTAGTTCTACCAAGGGAAAAGTTAATAACAGCTGTCAAGCATTGGGAGGAGGAAGAATGAGGAAGGAAGAATTTTGAGTGTTGATATATCCTCATCTTTCACTTAGGGGCATGAAGATGGAAGTTTCTGTTCCACCAGCAGCTCCCAAATAAACACACTGAGGTTTATATTAATTATAAATGCTTGGCCGATAGCTCAGGCTTATTACTAACTAGCTCTTACATTTTTAAGTTAACCCATATTCCTTATTTATGCTCTGCCACATGGTGGTACCTTTATTAACATGGCTTGTTCATCTGCTCCCTCTGCATCTGGCTGGCAACTCCAGACTCTGCCCTTTTTCCTCCCAGCATTCTCCTAGTCTAACTCTCCTGCCTAACCTTATTCTCTTCACTGTTGGCCAGTCAGCTTCTTTAGTAAACCAATCACAGTGACAAATCTTCACAGGATTATTCCACAGCAAAGGCATCACTCATACATGTGAAATTTGGAAATCAAGAACCAGAAGTATAAGGATTTAGAAATATAGAAACAATTCCCATAAATAACTTCTAAAGGCTTAGAACTAAAGACTTTTTTAGTTTGATTTTTGTTTGTGTGTTTGTTTTAAGACAGGGTTTCTCAAGACTTAAAAGAAAAAAAATCAAAAGCTCAGTTTTTACAGTGCTGGATATTATACCCAGGACCTCACTCATGCTAGGCAAGCATTCTGCAGTTGAGTTACAACCCCAGCCTTGTTGCTAGCTGTATGTATTTATGTTAATGCTATATATTAATAAAAAGATGTTTTATTCCCTCCTTACACCCCTTCGCCCAAACCAAACTGAAACTGAACAAAAACCACACCTGAAGTCCAGCACTTGAGGGACTGTAGTACAAGACCCTGAGTTTGTGGCTAGCCTGAACTACACATACTGTTCCAGAAAACAAAACCACCTCTGCTCTGATGTGTCCTTGGTTCACATCCAAACCTTGAATTGTGCAGCTGTCGTCTTCACTGTCGCACCCGTCCGTGACCCCAAGCCAGAGTTAGGGGTCACCCTAACTCGTCTCTCTCCCTGCGTCTGCTGAAACCACTGGCCTTCCCAGTTAGTGCTTCCTTCACGGCTCACACCCTCCTCGCTCTTTTCACCTGGTACCACAGCTGTCTTCAGTCTGTGGCCTCACCAGGTCTACTTCAGAACTTCCCCAAGTCTTCTGTAACGTTCCTAGTTTTCACCCTTAAATCTCCCCTGCATCCCAAACCACAGCTTCAGCCCTCCCCTTTCAGCTTCCCTGTAAGTCCTCCAGGGGGCTGCATCTTCTGTAGGAAAGAGTCCAGGCTCGGGTGACAGTCCTCAGTACCCTTTGTGGCTGCTTATCTCTGTGTTAAGTTTGCATTGTGTTCTTCGTTTATGATCAGACTGTCTACTTTCTGAACAGAAAAAAAGTGTGCATTTCTTAATGTTCTCAGGGGCCAAGTGAACACTCAATACATGTTTATATAATTAAAGCAAGGAAAGATGTTAAATTATGTATTTGTCTTGATTTACGATTCTCTGGCTGATCCAGTGTAGATGTGCTAGAGCAATATTATGCTATTCTAAATATTCTCAAAAATGGGACAACTACTTGTGCCATATATATATATGTGTGTGTGTGTGTATATATATATATATATATATATATATATATTTTTTTTTTTTTTTTTAATTTTTAATTTTTAGTTTTTTTCAAGACAGGGTTTCTTTGTGTAGCTTTGGAGCCTGTCCTGGAACTCGCTCTATGGACCAGGCTGGCCTTGAACTCATAGAGATCCGCCTGCCTCTGCCTCCCGAGTGCTGGGATTAAAGACGTGTGCCACCACCACCCAGTGCCTTTTATATTTTTATAATTAAGGCCAGATTCAGTAGCACACACCTGTAACCTCAGCACTTGTAAGGTAGAGGCAGGGGAATCATAGTTCATGCCAGCCAGAGCTCCATGAGACTCTGTCTCAAAAAAAAATTTTTTTTAACTAATAACGTTTTTAGGAGTAAGTTGAAATTTGTACTGACATACTTTTCACATATTTTGTTTAGAACTGGGAAACTTGGGGAAAACCTTGAGTAGAAAGTCAGAAAGTAAGTGACTAATAAATAACCCCACCATGACAGTGGTAGCTGTTAAAGGTTTTGATGTATCACTTCTTGCTATCCAGTTCTCTTTGTAGCTAAAGTAAGTTAGGAAAATAAAAAGGCAGAGTAACCACAAACTCCCAATGAAAGTGTGTTGGTAGGTATCAAAAATATGGGCTAAGCCGGGTTTGTGGTACACATTTCTAATCCTAGCATGTGACATCTAGAGGCATGAAGATCAGAAATTTAGGGCTATTTTTAGCTGCATAGCTAGGTGAAGGCCAGCCTGTACTATATATGACCCTCTCTCAGAAAGCAAAGGAAAAGAAAAAGTACATGTTAAAATCATTTCAAAGGATTTTTTTAATCTTGTTTTTTTTTTTTTTTCATCTATTTAGGGAAGAGAAATCTCGGAAGAAACAGTGCTGGAGATCTCTCTTCATATCTACTTACTCAGATGTAGGAAGATACATTGACCATTATGCTGCTATTAAAAAGGCCTGGGATGACCTCAAGAAGTACTTGGAGCCCAGGTGTCCTCGGATGGTTTTATCTCTGAAAGGTACTGGGAATACAGGGTCTCCCATCCATATTTTAGTTAGTATAGCCAGACTAATTTAAATAACTTTGGGTCTGTCATGTACCTGGGCTAATCCAACCTCTTCTAGTTCACCATTCACATTTTGTTAATAGCCAAGGAAGTATAATGCTGACATTGTTAAAAGGATCTTGCCCTTTTTCGGTTGGCCTGGAAACCCATACATTTATTAAATGAAGAGCTAAACTACTTTATCTTTATATTTGTTTTATATAAAGAAGCAATGCTAAGATTGCTTAAGAATAACCATTATGATTTATTTTTATTTTTGCAATGATGATGATTGAGCCCAGGGCCTCATGCATTTTAGGCAAGTATTCTACCATGGAACTCTACCCCTAGTCCTAAAAGATGATTACTGTTGTTGTTATTGTTTTGTGTGTATGTATGTGGCGTCCATGTGTCATGTTCACATGTGCACTCACATCCATGTTTGGAGGCCATGAGAAGTAAAATAGGCAATAGTTATTATAGCTCAAAGGTAGACATGAAACCAGATGGTTTTTATTTAATATTTTGAGACATGTTTTCTTTGTGTAGCCCTGACGGTCCTGGAACTCATTCTGTGGACCAGTCTGGCCTTAAACTCACAGAGATCTGTCTGCCTCTGCCTCCTCAGTGCTGGGATCAAAGGCGTGTGCCACCATTGCCTGGCAAAACTAAATTTTCATATTACCTCATTTACTTTCCAAAAATCCTGTAAGGAAAAAATTCTCTTTTTGTAGGGATAGCACTTAGGGCATAAAAGACCAGGTTTATCATCAATAAGTAAAAAACAAAGTCAGGAATTGACTAGGGGCCTCACCTTGGAAGGGTAATCTTTAGTTGTGGTTGAAGGAAATGGACCTAGCCCATTTTGTTTAGAATTTCTGAGGTTCCTTAAAGGGTCACTCCATATTAGGGCCCTTGTAGTGTGAGACTGTCATATGATTGTTCTTTCGGACAGACTTATAGCTCCTTTTTCTTTTGTCTGTTGTTATCCCTGAGCTCCTTGTGTCTGTTCTGTATCCAGCTGTCAGATTCCTTCGCCATGTCTGCTCTACTGATAGGTGCCAGTTCTCAGGGCTTGCCATGAGTTTGGAATAAGGTTAAAACCTAGTGTATCTATAGTGCTGGAAATGCTAGGAATTTCAGGCTTACGACTTTGACCACTAAGTTAAGAACATAGCTGCTGGCTTCAAGTTCCACAGCCCTCATTCAATTTGAAGGTTATAAAGGTGTCAAGTAAAAAGGAAGATTAGCAGGCAAATAGGCATTGGACATGGGGTCATCTTTGTGGAGCATTTTGAGATTGTATTATATTGATGTTCTTAATTGTGTATTTTCGAATCATATTCTCCTTAGAATTGAGTTGGGAGTTTAATAGTCCTTTAAAGGAACAAACAGTAAATATTTTAGAGTTTGTGGGACCCATGGTCTCTCATTGAGACCTGTGTGTTGTGTTTAGTCCTGTTGTTACGTTGTTGTTTCTGGAAAACAACCATAGATAATACAGAAACAAAAATGGAGTGGCTGGATTCCAATAAAAAGGATTTAGCCTCTCATCTATAATTTACCAAATCCTGATTAATTACTAGTACCTTCATTTCATATCAGAGAAAGGATACAAAGAGCATTTAGGTGGCCTGTTTGACATCCAGTAACTAGTAAGCAACAAAGATAAACTGATCTTGGCTTCTGGTAAATTGTCATTGTTTCCTCTATGATAGGTGAATATTTATTGAAGCAGTAAGGCACTTTATAAATAAATAAGAACATGACATTTTTTGTAGTCCTTCCTATAACTCTCTCAGGTGGGTGGTATTAGCTTCTTTTTTTGGAGGAGAGAACAAGGTCAAACAGATCAGTAACTTCCAGAAAGATCCACAGTAAGTAGTGGAGCCAGAATAAGGACCAGTCTGGCTTATCATAGCAGAATGTCTTTTTCAGTCTTGGTTTTCTTGTATTGTAAACATGTATTTCCTTATCTCTTTTTGTTAACTATGGTGTTTTGTTTGGTTGGTTGATTTTTTGGTTTTTGAGACAGGGTTTCTCTGTGTAACAGCACTGGCTTTCCTGGAACTTATTTTATAGACCAGGCTGTCCTTGAACTCACAGAGATCTACCTGCCTCTGCCTCCCGAGCACTGGGCTTAAAGGCCAGTTTTGCATTACCTCGCTTGGCTTCTAAATTCAGGGTTTTTTGTTTGTTTTTAGAGACAGGGTTTCTCTGTGTAGTCCTGACTGTCCTGGGATTAGCTCTGTAGACTAGGCTGGCCTCAAATTCATAGAGATCCACCTGTCTCTGCCTCCCAAGTGCTGGGATTAAAGGTGTGCGTTACCACACCCAGCTAACTATGGGTGTTTTTACTTCTAAATCTTATGTATTAAATAGTTTAACATGTAACTCATAGAATACAAATGTTAGTTTCTTTCCTTAACCAACATACTACTTCTGGCTTCTATTCTGCTTGGTTTCTTTTCTATTAAACTTCTGTTTTTTTACATTTTCTTTTGTATGTGTATGTAGTGTACGTGTGTGTGTGTGTGTGTGTGTGTGTGTGTGTGTGTGTGTGTGTGTGTGTGTACATGAACACATGTGCATGTGAAGATCAGAGGTTGATGCCTTAGTTGTTTTCCGCCCTATTTTTTGAGACATATTGAACCTGCACTCATGAACTTAACTACATGGACTGACTGGTCAGTGAGCTGTAGGGATATGCCTGCCTGTGTCTCTAATTTATGGGATTGCAGTGACTCAGCACAGTGCCTGGCTTATAAAGGTTGCTAGGGATCTGAACTCGAGTTCTTATTCTTGCAGAGCAAGGGCTTTCTAGACTGAGGCATCTCCCTAACCCTTAGTGTATGTATTAGAGTTATAAAGAGAGAGTTTTATAGTTATATATTTATTAAAAAATTAATATATATATTAATTTTATAGAGTAATTTAGATTTTCAGAGAGTTCTGTATACTCATTTTCTCTAGTATATTACACTGGAGGACATTTATCAGAACTAAAAAGTCATTAATATTTTGTTACTTTTACATTTGATTTAGATTTCATCAGACTTTCCATTAATGTCTTTAGTGTTCTTTCAGGATCCAGTCCATAATACCACATCACATTAAGCTGTCATTTCTTATTAACTGGCAGTGGTATTTTCTAAGTCTTGTCTTTTATGACTTACACAGTTTTGAGAAGAACTCATGAGGTATTTTGTAGAAAATATCTCAGATTGGTTTTGTCTGATACTTTCTTCATGGTTGGAGTTGTAGGTTTTTTGGGAAGATTCCTTCAAAGTTGAGATGTTTGCCATCATTAGTGATGTTAACAGATATGTAGATATGTTCACAAATCACAATGCACAACTCAGAGTTATCACAAAGTGAATGAATTCATTAAAACAGTCTCCAGATCAAATAGTAGAGTATTATATATACCCAGAAGCCTCTTGTGTCCCTCCCTCTTTCATAGAGACAACCACTGTCCTGACTGCTAATTCATCTAGTGATTTTCTCTTGACTTTATATAAATTATGTGGTTAAGTATGTATTTTGGATGAGTTAATTCTAGTTTGGTTGTGAGGCTCAATAGTAGTTTCAGTTTTGTTACAGACTAGTACTGTATATTAGTAGACTGGGTTTATGTTCATCCTACCATTGTGGATATGTGGGTCATTTCCAATTCTGACTGTTAGGAATAACAACTTCTTTTTTTTTTTTTTTTTTTTTTGGTGTTTTTTTTTTTCGAGACAGGGTTTCTCTGTGTAGCTTTACGCCTTTCCTGGAGCTCACTTGGTAGTCCAGGCTGGCCTCGAACTCACAGAGATCCGCCTGGCTCTGCCCCCCGAGTGCTGGGATTAAAGGCGTGCGCCACCACCGCCCAGCAGGAATAACAACTTCTTAAGAAAAGATTTCTATTTATTTTTATATGTGTGGAGTGTCTTACTTGCATTATGTCTACATGTATGCAGTCTCTGCATAGGCCAGAAGAGGGCATTGGATCCCCTGGATAGTTATTAGCCACTGTGTGGGTGCTGGGAACTGAACCCAGGTCCTCTATAAGAGCAGCAAGTGTTCTTAACCGCTGAGCCATCTCTCTAGCCTCTCACTAGGAATTTTACATTGATGTTTGTGAGAGTTTGGCATGTAATTTTCCTGTCTTGCAGTGTTCTTAGCAGGATTTTGTATCAAAATGATCCTGCCTTTAAGGGCAGGACCTTAAAATAAGTGAGGAAGTGCTGCCTCTTCTGTTCCCTGGAGGAGTTATGGAAACTTGGTCTGATTTCTTGCTTAGATAATTAATAGAATGTGTCAGCAAGTCATTCAGCCCTGGAATTCATTGTGGAAGCTTTTAAATTAAGAACTCAATGTCTGTTTAAGTCTTGAGGCGTTCTGCTTGATAGATTTTGTCCAGGAAATTGTCTACTTTGTGTTTTCAGATGTATTTAACATCCTTTCATGCTTAGTAAGTTTTTAGTGATAAAACCTTTTCCATGTCTGATATTAGTAGTTATCACTCTTGATGGGTAGGGACTAATCTAGTCCTTTCAGAGAGCTGGTGTTTTAGTCAGTCTCCTTTACTGTATGTTTTTTTTATTATTTTATTAATTTTTTTCTCTTTGAATTTGCTATGATTCCCTTTTCCCCTGACTTAGGTCATAGATTTTTTTCAGTCTTTTTATTCTTTAGACTCCCTAGTATATTTAGGACTATAAATTTACCTCTAATCATATTAGTTTATCTTATAGGTTTTTTAAAAATTGTGTGTGTGTGTGTGTGTGTGTGTGTGTGTGTGTGTGTGTGTGTGTGTGTGTGATGTAGAAGCCAGAGGCAATGTTGGATGTCTTCCTTAATTGCTTTCTGTCTCTTCTGGCCTCCCCAGGCACTGCACATATATGGACATATATGTAGGCAAGACACTTATACACATAATTATAAAAATAAATCTTTCTTTAAAAGTTATGTTATTTCTATCAGCCAGAACCAGAAATGACCCAGATGTTCAAATATTTTTGGTATTGGGTCTCTTACTGAACCTGAGGCTCACAGTTGGACTAGACTGTCTGGCCAGCAAACCTCAAGGGTTTTCCTGTGTCTGCCTCCCTAGTTCTTAGATTACAGGGTATCACTGCACCCAGCTTCTCGCATGGGCACTGGAGGTTCACATTCAGGTACTCATGCTTATGTAGTAAGTACTTTATCACCTTTTTTTAAGATTACGTTTTATTTAGTGTGTGTAACATACATTCTGTGGCACTTGGATGGAGGTCAGAGGACAACTTTCAGGTGTAAGTTCTCTCCTTCCACCTGTGGATCCCAGAGATGACTCATGTCATCAGGCTTGGTGGCAAGCACCTTTAAGCACTAGACATCTTGCCTTTTCCTGATTTTTGTTTTATTTATTTATTTATTTATTTGTTTATTTATTTTGTTTTTTTGAGACAGGGTTTCTTTGTGTAGCCCTGGCTATTTTGGAACTAGTTTTGTAAACCAGGCTGGCTTTGATCTCTCAGATCCATCTGCCTCCCGAGTGCTGGGATTAAAGGTTTGGGCCACCACCACCCATTTTTTATTTTTTTAAAAGATGAAAAATATTATATTTTATGTGTGTGGGCATTTTATCTATATGTACATCTGTGCACCATGTGCTGTACCTGGTATCCCTGGAGGCCAAAAAAGGGCATCAGATTCCTTGGATTAGAAGTTACAGATGGCTGTGAGCTGCTGTGAGGGTTCTGGACGTTGAACTCAGGTCCTTTGTAAAATGAGCCAGTGCTGTTAACCACTGAGCCTTCTCCCAGGCCTCTGTCTTTTTGTTTCTGTTAGTTACTGAGAGGTTTGTTGACATTTCCGGCTGTGGTAGGCACTGTTTTGAAGTAGCCCAAGATTTTCAGCCCATGGTATACATGCATGGTACAGTTATTTCTCCTTTCATATAACCAGTGATATAAAAAAGTCTTGATTCCCATTATTTAATATATTCAAATTATTTAAAATAACTTCTCTATTTTTTTTAAAGAAATGTGAAGAGATTTTGCAGGTATAGTTAAGGTGCCAAATGAATTGAATTTGAATGTTAATTAAAAGGAAAATGATCTTGAATGGGCCTCCCTTAATCAAGTACATTTTTTTTTTTTTTCCGAGACAGGGTTTCTCTGTGTAGCTTTGTGCCTTTCCTGGATCTCTCTCTGTATACCAGGCTGGCCTCGAACTCACAAAGATCCACCTGGCTCTACCTCCCGAGTGCTGGGATTAAAGGTGTGTGCCACCACTGCCCAGCTCATCAAGTACATTCTTAAAAGCATCTGGACCTTTCAGAAGGCAGAGAGATTCATAATGTTTTTTCTGTTGACTTTGAGTAAGCAAACTGGTATGTTGAGGAGAAAGCTACATGATAGGGAATGTCAGGTGGCTGCTAGGCACTGAGGGCCTCACTGAAAAAAACTGTAGGCTGCTGAATTGTGCAAATAACTAAGTGAGGTTAAAGAAGATCTGAAGCAAAAGATGGGTAAGATGAACTAGCACCCCAGTTAACACCATGAGTTCAACATTGGGATCTACACAGAGGATCCAGTGGAGTTGTGCTTGAACTTTAGATCTGCAGAAACAAATAATGAGTTCCTGGCTTGGTTTCCTGGGAGGTGGGCTCAGTGTACTCCACCTCCTCTCAGCTAAGCCTAGAGTACAGGGGCAAGGTATGCACCTGTGTGGGAGAGGTGCTTAAGCAGGGAGCCTTGCCCGGCTCTCCTAGCCTCACATTTACTTGCAAAATAGGCAAACAAATCAGTATTGTTTTAAGCTGCTAATACTTCATGCAGCAGTGGAAAATTAATCCACTGCTTGTAAATGTTTTTTTGCCATTTTAACTCTGATATTAAAAAAATGTATTTGGGCCAGACGGTGGTGGCGCACGCCTTTAATCCCAGCACTCGGGAGGCAGAGCCAGGTGGATCTTTGTGAGTTCGGGGCCAGCCTGGTATACAGAGCGAGATCCAGGAAAGGCACAAAGTACACAGAGAAACCCTGTCTTGGAAAACACACGCGCACGCGCGCGTGCACACACACACACACACACACACACACACACACACATATTTGGGGCTGTAGGTGATACTTCACTGCTTAGCCTGCTGCCCCCTTGCAGTGTACTCTAAATTTTAAGAGAAAAAAAATGTGTGTATACATATGTGTTTGTGTGTGTGTGCATGTGCACATGCTGTTTTACTGAGGTACATAAAATTGATTCCTACATAGTGAATTTAATCTTTTGCTGTTATTATTATGAAAGTTCTCTGTTAGTTTTAATGAAGCTGTTTACGTTAAAGTCTCTCTTGTGTGATCTGAATGCTAGCTTTTTTTTCCCCGTGTCTACATTAAGATGAGTCTCTTGGGTAGAATTTTTTTATTACTTCGGTGCTGAAATTGAAACCGAGGCCTAACACACCCTCTCCTACCCCCAGACAAAGTTTCTTTGTGTAGCCCTAGCTGTTCTGAACTCGCTCTGTAGACCAGGCTGGCCTTGAACTCAGAGAGATCCACCTGCCTTTGCCTTCAGAGTGCTGGGATTCAAGGTGTGCGCCATCACCGCCTGGCAAGGCCCAACACATTCTAAGCCTTTGCTCTCTACCCCTGTACTGCGTCCTTGAGCCCTTGTTCTTTACCTAGTCTGTCTTTTTATTAGATTATTTGGCTTAGTGATATTTAATTTATTTACTAATATAGTTGAACTTAACCATGTCATTTAAATATGTTCACCTTTTTTGCATTCTTAATTATGTTTAATTTCTTTGCTTTCCCTTTTATTTCCTTTTTAGTAATCGCAGTATAGATTAAAATATGCATTTTTGATTTATTGAAGTCTAATAGAATTTAATGTTTACCACTTCCTGGACAGTGAAAGAGCTTTAGTTCTGATATGGGAGGGTATTTGGGCTCCAGCTCAGGTCCCTGTGCATGTTAGTTCCTCACTGAGTCCATCACTCTGTGCCCATCACTGAGCCCCCTAGTGTTAGTTTGTGATTTTAATTTTTAGCCTATTTCTTATCCTGAGAACCTGGGGCTAGGATCACACGGATGTGTCGACACTCTTAGCTTGCTCTTTAGTCAGTTCTTGTTTTTATTGAGGATTAGTTCTTTTGAGTGATTGCACAGCACTATTTGGGTCTTAGGGTAATAATTTTTTCTTCTAGAGATTTCCTTCTGCTTCTGCTGCAGATTGTCAGGGGGTTGATGTAACTGGAAAAACTGGGCTTTTTGTCCATGAGGGCTGATTTGTTTCCAGTTCACTTTTTCTTAGGACTTGGCTTTCTGTAACTTAGCCCAAACCATATTTGTTTATTTGAACAGGTCCTTTTCTCCTTTGTGGACTCTAGACCCCCCTTTTTTTCTTTTTAAATCCATCAGTCCTGTAGTACTGCCTAAAGCTTGGCTCCTCTCTTTGGCCACTTGTTTGAGAATTGGCATTTGCTTGAATCAAGGTGATTCTAGATGCCTGATTGACCTCTTGTGTGTTTATTTTGTTCTGTTTTCCTGTTTCTGAGTTCACTTTAACTCTCACTGCTGGGGTTATACTCATGTGCCACCACATCTGGCTACCTTGTGGGGTGTTTTGTTGGTGGTGGTAGTTGGTTTTATTTATTTTTTTATGTCTTCAATAGCATTTCTGCCATAATCATTCAATAATGAGAGGTTTGGCCCAACAACCCGAGGGGCTGTTGCTTGGAAGTGGATCTCTTCTCTTGGTATTGGTACTTTTTTTTCCTGCTTGTGACAGAATGCAGGGGACAAGTTTTCAGATGTGCTCTCAAGAGTTCAACTTAGTAAACCTACATCTGTCTAATGTCCCATATTTCCTGTAAAGGGTCACATTGAAATTCTAGAATGACATCAGCTGAGAGAACTTTAAGATTTTTTTTTAAGTATGAATATATTAGGTTTGGAAAAGTGAGAAGGTTTTTGTTATAATGTAAGAAAAATAATTGATTGCTCATTTCCTTGGTACCCCTCTCCTTTTTACTTTGTGCCAGTATTTTTCCTGTCAAGAGGAAACTAAGGACTTTGTTCAGTGTTTAAAATCAATTTCCAATTCATTGCCCTGATTTTGACAGTATATGTTGAACAGAATTCACTTGCTATAAGATTGTTGCATGGGTTGGTTGGCAGCTGACCTACTAGATTGAAGTCTGATTGTGCGTACACACTTCTGTCTTTGATGTGTGTTTGCAGAAGGCGCACGTGAGGAAGACCTGGATGCTGTGGAAGCTCAGATTGGTTGCAAACTCCCTGACGATTATCGATGTTCATACCGGATTCACAATGGGCAGAAGTTAGTGGTTCCAGGGTAAGGAGTTTGACGTTTGAGTAATTCTCAGAAATGGACATTACATTCTAGAATGAAAGTACATTTTGTTTACATATTATATATATGTGAATGTATGTATTATAGAGAGGGTGGATTCCCACTTCTTCCTTATAGCAATCTATAAAATGATATCTATACGTTAAATTAAATTTTACTAAAATTGTCTCATAAAAGCATTATTCTTGCCAACACATTCTTATGATTAAAGTGAGATCTGGTTGGGGATGGGCGCGTGGGATACAGGAGAGATATGTATTTGTGAGTATATTTAACCTGTTAAGTGCTTGATGTGTTTATTACCCTGTTAAAAGTTAGGCAAAATGTTTTAGAAACTTGATACAAGTTCTGTCTATTATACTTGTAAAAAAGCATGATTTGTTCAAAGCTGTATACACCAAACCAAGGAAAGTAGAGTTTTGTCTTACTCAAGTACAGCCTGTAATTGAATGGCCTTTTAAAAACTTTTGCAAGTTGAGGTATTCATTGTAGTGTTTGTTTTTTGGTAAAAGAGGACCCTATAGTAGCCATCAAATTTGTTTACAGTTTTAAAATTGATGAACTTTGAATGTGTTTATTCCTTTTGTACTTTCACGCAGTTAAGCTATTTGAAAGATACTGTGTTTGTAAAATACCAAGAGTTCAGGGAGACTGTTGTATTATCTTGATGGAATCTGATGTTTCTCTGTGTGTGAGGGATTATGGGAAACTGTTAATGATTTCTAATCTGGGTTGAGTATGCCCTGGGATTCTCCAAGGGGATCCTACTGATAGCACAAAGTAGTACTCAGAAGTGAAATATCAGGAATGGGTCACAAACAGGTCAGTCGAGGAGGCTGGAGAGATGGCTCAGTGGTTAAGACTGCATACTGCTCTTGCAGAGGTCCCTTGTTCCCAGCACCCATGGTGGGCAACTCGCAATGGGCAGTAATTCCAAATCCAGGGACTCCCAGTGCCTCTGGACTTGTACTAGTTTGTTTGTTTTCCTAGTTAATTGAAACCTGAAAAAGCTGGAAAATTTGTATTATTTTAAGAGAAAATAGAACCGAACTTTGTTAAGAGTTGTCTGGAACTGACACGGTAGATAGCTCATGAATTTCAGTACAGGGTTATTTATCTGTCTGTCTGCCTACCTAAGAAATGAGACTTGGAGAAGACTCTTTACCAGACCAGTATTGTTGCCATGACATACACACACACACACACACACACACACACACACACACACACACACACACACAGATGTTAATGCTTACATGTGGAGATTAATTTCTACCACGTCTATTTCAAGTTTGTGACAATTTGGATAAGATTTAGACTTGGTTTACATTTGTTGCTGTCTGGTTTTATGAGAAAAACTGAAAGTTGAATCAAGATAAAGATGTCAGAAAATTTACTCCTTTAATCATTAAATTAGCTATTAATATATATGTGTGCATATATGAGGATATGTGCATACATAAATAGCAAGTCACAAAAGCACTAGCCATTCCATATATAATACAGTTTTTTTTTTTTTTTAATTTTGGAGTGAAAGTCTCACATATTGGTCTTGAACTCATTACCCTCCTTTCTCAGCCTTCTGAACAGCTGGGATTTTAGGTATGTGCCATTGGCTGACTGTATCTTTTAAGACAGGGTTATTCTAGCCTGTGGTGGCCAAGAACCCACTGTATAGCCCTACTTTCATTCTTTAGCCGTCTTCCTGCCTTATCTCAGTGTGGGGTTACGGGCATGAACCACCACACCAAGTTCTTGAAAAGCAGTAAAGTTATATTTCTTTAAAAAGATACTTTAGACATTTAATTTTTAAATCTAAATAAGGATATTCTGATTTAAAGAGTGAATTTAAGCCAGGCCTTAAATCCCAGCACTCAGGAGGCAGAAGCAGGCTGATCTCTGTGGTGGTATTGTGTTCCCCAAAATATTGTGCACCATAATAAACTTGTCTGGGGTCAGAGACAGAACAGCCACTAGATACAAAGATAGAAAATGGTGGCACTCACACCTTTAATCATAGCACTCCAGAGGTAGAAATCCCTCTGGATCTCTGTGAGTTCAAGGCCACATTGGAAACGGCCAGGCATGGTGACACACGCGTTTAATCCCAGAAAGTGAGCCTTTAATCCCAGGGAGTGGTGGCAGAAAGCAGAAAGGTATATAAGGCGTGAAGACCAGAAACTAGAAGCATTTGGCTGGTTAAGCTTTCAGGCTTCTAGCAGCACAGTTCAGCTGAGAGCCATTCGGATATGAGGACACAGAGGCTTCCAGTCTGAGGAAACAAGACCAGCTGAGAAGTTGGCCAGGTGAGGTAGCTGTGGCTTGTTCTGTCTCTCTGACCATCCAGCATTTCACCCCAATAACTGGCCCCGGGTTTGATTTTATTAATAAGAACTTTTAAGATTCCTGCTACAGATCACTGTGAGTTTGAGGCCAGCCTGGTCTACAGTGTTGTTATTGTTGTTTATTCTTTGGGGGGCCTGTCAACCAGCTCCCAAATAAATACACATGGAGGCTTATTCTTTCTTATAAATGCCTGGCCTTAGCTTGGCTTATTTCTAGCCAGCTTTTCTTAAATTAACCTATCTTTTGCCTTTGGGCTTTTATCTTTCTCTATTTCTGTATATCTTTCTTTATACTTCTTTCTCCATTGCTTGCTGTGTAGCTGGGTGGCTGGCCCCTGGAGTCTTCCCCTCCTTCTCTTTCTCTATCCTTTCTTCCCAGATTTCACCTCCTATTTATTCTCTCTGCCTGCCAGCCCCACCTATCCTTTCTCCTGCTTCCCTATTGGCCATTCAGCTCTTTATTAGACTATCAGGTGTTTTAGACAGGGAAAGTAACACAGCTCCACAGAGTTATAAACAAATGCAGCATAAAAGAAAGGAATGCCTCTTTGCATCATTAAACAAATGTTTCACAGCATAAATAAATGTAACACATCTTAAAATAATATTCCACAACATACAGAATGAGTTGTAGGACAGCTAGGACTACACACAGAGAAACCCTGTCTCAAAAAAACAAAAAAAGAAAAATAAAATGAATTCAATATACAGAAATTTTAGTGGTTTTGATATTCTTGATTTAGAATTTGTATGCTAACCAGTGCTTAGAAAATTACCAATGTGTGGCTGGGCATGCTGGCACATAATTCTAATGCCTATAATCTCAGTGATCTTAGAGCCTGAGGCAGGAGGATTACCTTAAATTTGAGGCCAGCATCAACTACATAGCAAGGCCTAGGCTGGCCAGAGCTGCATAGCAAGACCCTGGTTGTTTCTTTTAAACAAAACAAACAAGGAAATTTCCCGTGTGAAATTATTCACCAGAAAGATGAAACACAAGCCCTGTGGCACTGTGTTTCCGTGGTTCTACTCAGGTTGACAGTTTTGAGTCTGTTTGCTCCTCAGGTTGCTGGGAAGTATGGCACTGTCCAATCACTATCGCTCTGAAGATTTACTAGATGTTGATACTGCTGCCGGAGGATTTCAGCAGAGACAGGGACTGAAATACTGTCTCCCTTTAACCTTCTGCATTCACACGGGCTTGAGTCAGTACATAGCTGTGGAAGCTGCAGAGGGCCGGAATAAAAATGAAGTGTTCTACCAATGTCCAGTAAGTAGGAAGTGTGTTTGATTACGGCTTTAACACGTAATCTGACAATACTGTAAATATATGCATTGGATACATCCAGGGATGTAAAATAGGCTGGAGCATCATACATTAACTAGAGAACTAATAGCCTCCTGTGGTGATGTGGAATACCGAAAGGAAGGTTTGCCATTGGACAAATAGTGCAGACGATGACAGGCTTAGATGGGAAGTTGTGATTCGAGTTAAGGAACTCGTTGTCAAAGGCCTTGATTGTAATGTGTAAAATTATTTTTTCTGAACATCCTAGAATTGTTTGGTTCTCTTGACTCTGAATCCAAAGTGCTTTCTTCTAGAATAACAAGCTATTTATTTTATCACTTCTACTTGCTAGTTATGTTCTTAAAGTATAGTTTCTTGTCTTAATAGTGATAGCATTCTATATTTTCATTTTATTGAGAGGTGTCTCCAAACATTTTATAGAATAAGTCCAAGCACAGAAATTATAATAGTAGGAACTGATAGGTGTTGCTAAAATTCCTTCTCAAGGATAGACTTAAGTACTCTCTACCCTTCCTCCTAAGGTCTCAATGACAAACCGAGGCACGAGTCCCCAAAGTTCGCTCTGGCCAATGACTATATTTCATAGGTGAGGGACTACTTATAGGCGTGTGGGTATCCCTCCACGAACTGACTGCACCTCAGAAGCTTTAGCCAGTGGGTATGAGGACTTCCCCATAGCTGTATAGATGGAGCCCCAGCCATACCTGCTTCCCCTACCTCTATATACACCAGGTGGTAGGAGCAGCTGGAGACTCGGGTAAGAATCGGGTGCCCTTCTGGGCTCTTCTGTGGAGATGGGTAATAAACAGTCACCAGAACAGCTGGAATGATCATGCCTGTGTGTGTGGTAGGGGGCAGTGGTGGTGGTGGTGCAGCTGAACTCTCCAAGATGGTGATTGCTTGGTCTGGAAGACCGTTACAACAACAAGGATTACATGAGTATTGTATCTATTTTGCTTTGTTCCCAGAGATCTAGGTAAGGAACAAGAGGAAATGTATTTGTATCAGTTTTGTTTTGTTTTTCCCCTTAGGACCAAATGGCTCGGAATCCTGCTGCTATTGACATGTTTATCATAGGTAAGAGAAACATAGAAAAGTCACTTTTCCCTTCTTTCTATTGGTTTAGAAAAGAAAATAAATTGGTGAGACTTAGTTCCTTGAGCAGCTGGCAACTTTATACTTGCATCTCTTTTTTTTTTCTTTTTTTTTTTGGTTTTTCGAAACAGGGTTTCTCTGTGTAGCTTTGCGCCTTTCCTGGATCTTGCTCTGTAGACCAGGCTGGCCTCGAACTCACAGAGATCCGCCTGCCTCTGCCTCCTGGGTGCTGGGATTAAAGGCGTGCGCCACCTCCGCCCGGCTATACTTGCATCTCTTAGTACTTCCTGGTTGATAGAGTTCTATGTCTCTGTTTTCTCGTTGGGGCAGCCCGTGTGTTTTCTTTGTTTAGGAAAAGAAAAAGCCAGGTCCTGTACAGTCTTAAGTTTTTAATTTTCTTTAGGTAAGTGATATAGGTCCTATATTACCTTACTGTCGCTGTGATAGGATACCTGACAGAGTGCAACTCGGGGAGGAAGGGCTTTATTTCAGCTTACAGGTCACCGTCTGCCATTGAGGGAAGCCAGGGCAGGAACTCAAGGCAGAAACTGAAGCAGAGGCCATGGAGAGTGCTGCTTGTTCTCTGGCTCACTCACAGGCTTATGCTTAGCTCGCTTTCTTACGTAGCCCAGAACCATTTGCCCAGGAAATGGTGCTATGCATGTGGGCCAGGCTCTCCTACATGAGTTAATGATCAGGACAGTCCTTCATAGGCTAGTCTGATCTGGGCAGTCCCTCAATTGAGACTCCCTTCTCAGGTGACTCTCGGCCAGCGGTTCTCAACCTTCCTAATGCTGCAGCCCTTTAATACAGTTCCTCATGTTGTGGTGACCCCTAGCCATAAACTTATTTCATTGCTACTTCATAACTATAGTTTTTCTACTGTCATTAATCATAATATAAATATCTGATGTGCAGGATGGACTTAGGCAAGCCCTGTGAAAGGGTCCTTCAACCTCAAAGGGGTCATGACCCACAGGTTGAGAACTGCTGCTCTAGTCTGTGTCAAGTTGATAGTTACAGCTAATTAGCATTAATTCCTATAACATATCCATGGACTTTCCACTGAGCGTATTAATACGTAATTGAAGGTACAAGTATTTAAAGTGATTGTATTTTTTCTTCTCATTTGCTGCTAATTAAACACATCACGGTAGACCTAAGCAGTGTCACTCTTCAAGATGAGTGGATATTACAAATGATAGGCTTCACAGACTCCTTGGCACTTGCTTTCCTTCTCTGTGAAGGTGTTTCTTACTAATTTTGGGGCACTCTAGTTTCTATGTGAGTGCAGCTCACCTTTGGCTATTCATGCAGTCTCGTCCTGCTGAGACTCTGCTCAGTAGCAGAAGCTTCCTACATTCTGGGCCTTCTTTTTAAGGGATTTCTGACATAAGCGTCTTCCTGTGTATTCATAGTACAGAAGATGCTAAGGGATAGCTCAGTGGTAGACTGTGTGCCTGGCATGGGCAAGGCTCCAGTTCAGTCCCCAGCACTAAGTAAATAAATCAATATTGGTGTTTAATTTTATCTTCTAATTGGAACCTAGAACAGAAAACAAGTGTCTTTTTTTTTTTTTCATACTGTGACATGATCCGGGTTTATGATATTCTTCACAGTATCTAAAAAGGTCTCGCCCTTACCCAAGTCATGCAAGCTTTTAAATTTCGGCCTTAGCTTTCCACTTATTCTGACTTACATGGTGTCCTGTTTCTAAGCTAAGCACCATCAGGATGCCATGCTTGTGTTCATATCTTCCTTGGTATACTGGTATAGCATATTTTCAGAGATGACCGTCACAGCTCCAGCCCAGCAGTGCTGATCACTTTGTGAATTAAAGGCTTCCTGGTCAATAAGGAAAGTTGCTGTTAGTTTCTGAATTTCTTTCATTTTCATGTTTGTCTGCTTTAAGACAGAATAAATAACCGTTGTAACAAATATGAAAGTCTGGTAATTAAAAAAACATAATCAGTGATATAAATTGATCATCTGATACTCAGTAAAGAACTGGGTTAATTGAAACCAGATTACAAAAAAAATTCAGTGAACAGCATTAACTAAGTACTATATATCCCTAGGCATTTAGCTGTACTAACAAAAAAATGAGGTTTGATAATTATGTTGTATTACCTAGAATGTTTAAACTTAATTCATATAAATACTTCTTATGAATCCTTTTACTATATAACATGGGCAGATAGTATGGCTTGGGCTGATATAATAATAAATGTTTTCTGCTTTGAGTTGGTCACTGAAAATATGGAGGACCACTGTGCAACCAAATCTGCACTAATGAGCCTCTTGACCCCTTTGGTATTGACCTGACCCTGAGAATTCCTCAAAGTCCTGTCTCTGGTGATGTTTAGACTGGGCCTGGCTTGTGCTAGTATTTTGAGTGTATATCAAGATGTGCCTAAGGTGAACCCTCATTGAGAGGAGGTGCCTGATAACCTTTCTTAATGCTTTTTTCCTAGATATAACTATTTCCTTTGTTCTGTATGCTTTAGAAATTAGTAGACAAATAGTTTTTATCACTGAACCAAAACTAATTATTTTGAGTATAAAACACAAAACTACATAAGTGGAAATAGCCATAGAATTCCCTAAAAAGACTTGGGCAGGGACCAGAGATAGTGGTGGACGAGAACACAAAGGACATAATGTAAATAGAATTGAGGACGGAAGAGCTGGAGAGATGGCTCATTTGGTTAAGAGTACTTAATGTGCAAGCATAAGGCTCTGAGTTCAAGTCCTAGGATCCATGTAAAAGCTGGGTGTGCCTATGCTGTAATTTATGGGCCACACCCATAAATTACATATGTGTCCAGTATTTTATGGGACAGAGACAGGAGGATTGCTGGGCCTTACTGGATGCCATTTTAGCTCCAGATTCAATGATAGGCCCTGTCTCGAAGGAGTAAGGTGGAGAGTGATAGAGCAGGGGTATGATGTCCTTTGGCTTCTGCATGTGTATGTACAAGTGTATATAGATGCACTTACTTGGCATACACCACGCTCACAATAAAGACGAACTGGGAAAAGAAATTGGACTAACAGAGTAATAGAATCGTACCTATAAACATTTCTAGTTTGGGTAGCGTACCTTAACTATAGTGAAGTTATAGTTGGTTGTTTCCTCTGTGGATTTTCCCCATTTGCTCATTTCCCCCTTCTTGGTTTACAGGTGCTACTTTTACTGACTGGTTTACATCCTATGTCAACAATGTTGTATCAGGTGGCTACCCCATCATCAGAGACCAGATTTTCAGGTATGTTAGTTGGGGCTTTGGGGATTGAAATGACTATAAATCAGAAAAGGCTAACTATTGCACATATCTATCATGAGATGAGATTTCTCTGAAAGGTTAAGAAATGAACTTCACTGTCCTAAATCTCAGTATTTATTCTCACACTAAAACATCCAAACATTTAATCAGCCCATATTTTTCTTGTCTTGAAAAATCAAGAAGAAAAACTAAATGTGATATAGTAGCTGGATGGTAGCTACATAATTTCTCTTTGCAAAACAAGAAAGCTAGCTGATTAATAGGTTTATTATGAGTAGCAAGTAAACAACTTACTCCTGGCAAACATTTATTATCTCTAACTAGAACATTCAAATGTTGGCAGTTAGTAGTAGAGGTGGTTCCAGGTGATACTAGTTCATAGTAGCCTTCATGGCGGAAACAGTAGGTTAAGTGTATGTCATGAACTTCTCCATTAGAGGCAGGAATTAGTAATTATGCCTAAGAGGCTCAAGATCTTTACATTTGTACATATTTTCATTGCCCATGCTCACCATTTAACAAGGATGGACAGGTTTCAGAAGTCTCCCAAGAGGAGCCCTTGTTAATTTCTAAACTGGTTACTGATCCATGGTTTGTATCACTACCATGGATCTTTGATTGCTGCCTATACTGAACCAAAGTCATCAATGTTTTCCAATATTATGAAATTCAAGTTCAACAGGATTGTATCAATATGACTTCAAGTTTTAATTATAAAATATAAGGAAAGTCTTGTACATCGTATCTTTAAACCATTTAAGTGGTGGTAGCGCATGCCTTTAATCCCAGCACTTGGGAGGCAGAGGCAGGTGAATCACTGAGTTCAAGACCAACCTGGTCTACAAATTGAGTTCCAGGACAGGCTCCAAAAGCTACACAGAGAAACCAAAAAAAAAAAAGAGAGAGAGAATTGAAGCAAGTTGATTTAAACATGCTTAATTTCCTTCCTTGCTAGATATATTCATGACCCAGAGTGTGTAGCAACAACTGGAGATATTACAGTTTCAGTGTCCACATCATTTCTGCCAGAACTCAGCTCTGTCCACCCACCACACTATTTCTTCACATACCGAATCAGGTGAGCACTTGAAATGGGACTGTAGTGGTGGTTAGTTCGTTTCTATGACAGAACATCAAGGGAATCAACTTGAAATGGTTTATTTGGCTCAGGGTTTCAGTCCATGGCCATCTGGCTCTGTCATTTCTGGGTCAGAGTATGATGAGGTAGAGTATCATAGAAGTGTAGAATAATGCCACAGAGCAAAGCTGTTCACTTCATAGTGGCCAGGAAGCAAAAAGGAAACCAAGCAAATCTTCATCATGTGAACCCTTGGAAGCATTTTATATCTGAACCATAAGACCCGCCTTTCAGTTACAAAGTGCAAATATCCAATGGCTGTTTTGCTTTTGTCCTATTTGGATATGGTCTGTGAAATGAATTTTAGGGTTTGTTTGTGTGTGGGGGGGGGTTGTTTTGTTGTTGTTGTTGTTGTTGTTCTATTTTATGGTCCTATGGGTCAGACCAAGAGCCCTGTACATGTCTGGCAAGTACTCTATGTCTGAGCTACAATCCCCAGCCATAAATTGCTTTTAAGAGTCATTTTTATTTTTAAAATTGTATTTGTTTTTCAGTACCTGTGTGTGTGTTTGCATTGTGTGGGTTCATGTGTATGGAGAAGCCTACGGTTGACATCAGGAGTCCTCTATCGCCACCCCCCTTAGTTTTTGAAGCAGCGCTTGCAGTTAACCTAGAGCTCGACCATATAACTAGACTAGCTGTCTGTCATGTTTTGAGGAGCCTGTCTCTGCCTCCTGTGCATTGGGATTGCGGTCAGGCAGCCACACCCACCCAGTGTTTACGTCAGTTCTGGGATCCAAACACCAGTCCTTATGTCTGTGCCCACTGAGCCATCTCCCTAGCTCGAAAGAAACTTCATTTTTTAAAATTCCACTTTTAATTTGTTGTGTATGCATGTGTGGGTAGTCTCCAGAGGTCAGCTTGTGGGAGTTGGTTCTTTGCTATCCTGTGATCCTGAGGATGCTATTCAGGTTGTTAGACTTGACAGGAAATGCCCTTATCCACTGAGCCATCTTGCCTTCTTGCTAAGGCATATTTTGAAAAATAATTTCTTGCTGAAGTTTGCAGAAAAGTTAGTAAATTTCAACAATAAAAGTTCACAAAGAAGTTTGACAAGTTGTGTGGTTTTTTTTTTTTTTTTTGTCCTGCGTATAAATCATTGTTTCAGATACTGCAGGAACTGGATCACTAAGTTGTAATTGTCAAAGCTCTATTTTAGATTTATAATGTAATCTAGAAGCTATCACATTGCCAAACAGGAAACCATTCATTTAAAATTTCATGTGTCCTGTCTGTATTCAATTTTAAAATGCAATAAATATTTATGGCGTACTTCATGTGTGTCATACATAGTATTGTTTGTTTTGATTAAATATAAAAACAAATGCTTTAAATTCCCTGTACTTAGACTATTCTGTACTTAGGCAGAAAGATAACCTGTTGCTTCAAGTATAGTTTAGATGTTTGTTTTTATTTAGATCCTGCTTAATATTAAGACTTGTTTAAAATAGAAACACCTCCTGCACTTACAGGGTACTCAACGTGAAGATTAGAGGTACAGATTCCTAGAGAAAGAGGAAATGAAACAGAGTTGGATTATAAGCCCAGTAACTGGAGATATTGTACTTTGAGCTTTTTAGAAGCTAATGGAAAAAAGAATTGTGTTGCAAAGGTTTGCATGAGTGAATGTCTGAATTCTTCAGAAGTTTTTCATGGCACTTTATCTAGAAAGTGTCGGCTAAATGGGTATTTATTTGAGCAGCCAAAGATGGTTGCTACCAGAGTGTTTGCATGTATTTTTGTAGCCTCTTCTCGTTGGTTCTTACTGAATAATAGATGAATAAATTGAGTGAAAGCCATTTCCATGGGGAGAATTAGCCTAGTTAAAGCAATGTCTTTGAGAACTGATGGCTAACATGGACTTTGGGTTAGATTTATTAATTTCCCTTGGAAGTATTTCATAGTGTTAACTCAAATGCTGTAGTACTTAAAAAAAAAAAAAAAAAAAAAAAAGTAAACAAGTGCATCTACACCTGCTCTTTTCTCCAGGATTGAAATGTCAAGGGAAGCACTTCCGGAGAAGGCCTGTCAGCTGGACAGTCGCTACTGGAGGATAACAAACGCTAAAGGGGATGTGGAAGAAGTTCAAGGACCTGGAGTAGTTGGTATGTCACCGAGATTGACAGTTCTGTTAGCTGCTTCAAAGAAAGTTTAGACTGTGTACCCAGAAATGGCATTTGTGGAGGTCATTAACCCATCATTTTAGTCCTGAAATGTCAGCTTTTCTAAAACTGTAGCAATTTTAACTATACGGGGATTGATTCCCTTTCTGTGGATCACCTAGGATTCCTTGATTGTTAGTCTTGTGTTCTTTATTTAAAAAAAAAATTATTATTATATTCTGTGAGTTAGGTGGCACAGGACAGTAAGAATAAATTTCATATTGGTGATCTTTATAAAATTTGGAGGTAAATGTTGAAATTAATAGCAAAGATTTAATTTTCCTTTGTTATTATTGATGCTGCTCTTCCAGAACACCCACATTCAGTCCCCAGCACCCACATTAGGTGGTTCACAATCACCTGTAATTCCAGCTCTGGGGTCCAATACCTTCTGGTCTTTGTGAGCACTTACACTCATGTACACACATATACATAAATACATAATTAAAATACACAGTTTTATTATTTTTATTTATGTGTTTGTTTTGGAGACAGCATTTTACTGTAGCTCTTTCTGGTCTGGAACTCCAAGACCAGGCTGGACTTGGACTCAGAGAGATTCACCTGCATCTGCCTCCTGAATGCTGGGATTAAAGGTGTATGTCACCCAATCTGGCTGAAGTATAAAATAGATCTTAGAGAGTCTAGTGCTAAGGAATTGCATTACAGCTGTGATTCTTTTTGCCATTTGTTGGTGTGAAGACCCTCCTCAGTAACTGACGTTTGTCCAGACTGAACATTAGGGTGCACCATGAGCCTTAGGTGTTGGTCTCTTGCTGCTATAGGAATTAGATTACCTTTATGTTTGTTTGAGCTACTGGGACACTTTTCTGTTATTTGTGTTTTAAAGATTACGTCAACCTTGGAAAAAAAAGTTTGCCTTTTAAGTTTTGTTTTACTAGCTATTCCCCACTGTTACCTTGTTCAGAATTTGGGGAATAAGAAAATGTTAAGGGCTGGTGACGTGACTCTGCAGACAAAGGCGAGTTCCACCAAACCTGAGACCTGAGTTCTATTCCTGGGACCCACATGATGGAAGGGAAACAGTTCCCACAAATTGTCCTCTACCCCACATGCAAAAAGTCCTCAGCCCCCCAAATCTGATTAAAATGTAAATATCAAGGGGAATTAAACCCTCATGATCTCATCACTGCCAATACTTTGTTGTATATCCTTTTAGAGTTTTGTTTTTTCCTAATTGTGCAGTTTACTTTCGAACCACTTACATAGCATCTTGAGAACATATTTACTTTAAGGAAGAAGTGAGTTTTATACTTTGGTTTATTGTTACTGTTTTCTCTGCAGGTGAATTTCCAATTATTAGCCCAGGTCGGATATATGAATACACAAGCTGTACCACATTTTCTACAACATCAGGCTATATGGAAGGGTATTATACCTTCCATTTTCTGTACTTTAAGGACAAGGTCTTTAATGTTGCCATCCCCCGATTCCACATGGCATGTCCAACATTCAGGGTGTCTATAGCCCGATTGGTAAGTTAAATTTTTTTCTAGTGCTGGATTACATGACTTTGTATTCTAAGGACCATCTTTGTTTAGGTAGATGAGTGGTATAAATGATGTTCCAAAAAAAGTGGACATTTTGAGGAAGTATCTTAGGGTTGTAATAATATGTAAAGGGAGATGAACAGTAAGTTTATTTTAGCTCCTCCCACTTTTCAGCCAGAGAAACTATTACTTGTTTCTCAGATTAACTTTTCCACTGCCCCCAACACTAGCTGTGTGGCCTGCGTGTATTAGAAGATGTGAAAGGACCAAAAGAGACCAATTAAAATTGACTCTTGTCATTAAGAATTGGGGAACAATTGCCTACAGTATTTTTGCTAAGATTCCCAATTTAATAAAATAAACTAGTATCCTATAGAGATCTTTGCAGAGGATTTATTGGGTAGAAATATACTTGTAACAGTCTTCTGTGATTGTTTTTCAAGTCAACCAGGCATAGTTTACAAATCTCATTCTTAAGGTTACTTTGTGATAGGTACAACAGTAACCCTAATTTATGGACTGTAAAATGATTAAGCAAAGTGTGTGAAATCCTGTGTTACATATTGGGAATAGTATATTCAGAATACACCTGAGTTGTAGACGTCAGGTGCTTAGAAAGAGCCCTCCTAGCTCCTGGAATGTCGGTGGGTTTGAGATAATTCTAGAAAAGTGAACTAGCCACTAACCTTACTGAAAGAGGATCCATTCTCTTTCAATGTAAAGGACCTATAATCCAGATTTATAAGTAAAGTTTTAGCTTTCTTCCCAATGGGAGAATGCTAGAAACTGTGTTCCCAGTATGGAGAATTTGCTTCTCCCTGTAACAGACTTCCATTTTTCTTGGGGAAGGGGATGAGAAGGAGGGCTTGAGATAGGGTATCATTATGTATCCCAGACTGGCCTCAAACTCACTGTTTTCTTGCCTCAGCCTCCCAAGTGCTAGATGTGTGCCACCATGCCTACACCAGACCAGACTTCCATTTTTGGTTAGCCCAGAATCTTTATGAGCTTGGTACCATCTTATCCTTAAATGGTTGATATTCATCAGTGAAGCTGTCTGGGACTGGAATTTGCTCTGTGGGGAATTTTAAAACATGGACTTAATTTCTTTAATATGTATATTTTCTATTTCTTCTTTCAGTTTTGGTAATTTGTGCCTTTCAAAGAATTTGTTCATTTCATCTAAATGTTGAATTTATTGGTATAAGGTTATTAACAATATTACCTTGATATCCTTTTAATGGCTACAAGAGCTGTAGTCAAATACCCTCTTTTATTATTAATATCAGTGATTTATATTGATTATTCAAAATGGAACAACATTTAGTTTTGATGGGTTTTCTGTACTGTTTGCTTTTTTTCTATCTCAGTGATTGGTGCAGTTGTCTTTATTTCTCTCCTACTTTCGTTGGGTTTAATTCACTTTTATTGCAGCTTTTAAAGGTAGAAGTTTAGATAATTGATTGTAGACCTTTCCTGTTTCTAAGCACTGTTTTAGTTGTATTGCACAAATTTTGATGTTATATTTTGGTTACTATTTAGTTCAAAATATTCTCAGATTTCCCTTGTAACTGACTTATGACTGCATAGACATATGTTAATTTTCAAGTATTTGGAAAACTTTCATTTGTCTTATTGCTTATTGATTTCTACTATTACTGTGGTTAGAGAACTTACTGTGTATTGCTAATGTTTTTTAATGTTTTATGGCCCAAAATTATGTGAAGAATTTCTTTATCTTGGTAAATGACCTTGTGTATGTCATTTGAAAAGAATGTATATTGTGCCATGTAAAGAGAATTTACTCTATAAATGACAGGCCAAACTGCTTGGTTGATTGACAGTGTTGGCAGTCATCTGTATATTTCTTGCTCTTTTTCCTATTTGTTGCTTCAGCCATTGAAGAGATTGTTGAAATACTCAGTTCATGTTATGGCTTTGTCCATTGCTTCATTCTTATCAGATTCGCTCCTGCCTTTTGAAGTTATGTAATTGTGTGCCAGTGCTTAGGATTGTTGTCTGTTTATGGAAGTGGTTCTTTGATTATCAGCTCCGGTAACTTCCTGTCCTAAAGAGCATTGAGGTATGTTTGGACAGGCAGTTAAGTTGAGTCAGCTTGATTCTTCTGTTGCTTGTTTTTAATATTTGTTTCAGTGAATGTAAAGTATGAGTTTTACTTAAGGACAGTGGTTCTCAAGCCTTTGGGCCTCATCACCTCCTTAGATGTGTAAAAATCATTGACTCCTAAGAACTTGTTTACATGGTTGTGTCAGTATTTACCATATTAGAAATTAAAACAGAACATTTATAATAGTATCAGTCTTTCAAAATTATAATAAATAAACCCTTTACGTGTTCAATCCTCTCAACTGTATTTATTTAGAGTTTTAGTTTCTGCTTAACTTCAAGAAAAAGTAATCAACCTGCTTTATGGAAAATGTTTTCTCAAAGGTGGAGAGTCAATAGAAAAAAATGAGAATTGTGACTTATTTTAATCAACATTAAAAGATAGTGGGGTTGTATTATTTGACCTTATTTCTGTTATCTTCCTTGATATGGAAGTTGACCTGTGTTTTGCTTTTTTTGTCCTCCACCAGTCTGATTAATTACTAGGCTTCAGAATTTTTCCTTTATATTTGCCACTGTAAATACACTGATGGCTTTCTTATGTCCATTCTCCTCTGTTCCTCTCTTACGTGCTGTTTGTATAGTACACTTTCATTTGAGTATTTCTCTAACCACATTTAATTCCTATAGCAGTTCTTGTTTTCTTGGTTAATAGAATAATTATACTACCTGATGATCATGTTTTAGAGTTTCCAAAGCCTTCCGCATCCCTCCTTTTGTACCTCCTATTGAATTTTGAAGTCTTCATTCCTTAGATTTAAAAAATAAACTAAAAAATAGTGCAATACCATTGAAGTCACATTTGTGTATATTTTCTGATTGTTACTGTTGTGTTATAATAAATCCTGAATGGCACAATTCTCTCTCCTACATTTTCATTTGCTTGTTCATGTGTCTGAATACTGTAGTAAACAATATAATCTAAACCCCTGCCTTGGATTTTATATTCTAATTGGAAGAAACTAACATGTGCTCTTGTGTCAAGTAACAAGTGTGGTGGAGAAAAATCAAGGGATAAAAGGAGTACCTGGTTGGGTTCTAGTATACAGATGTGTCAGGAAAGGCTGTGGGGACATGTAAGTGGAGGTATAAAAGATATATAGATACATAGATAGAAAAGGAGTGAAGGGGACCAAGTGACTGTGGAAGAATACTCAGCCAAGAGTACTCAGTGTGAGGGTTCTTAGGCAACTGTGGGCTTACCGGTTTGACCCAAGGAGGCTTGAGTGCAGAGAACAGGGCAGATAGCAATTAGAGACAAGATCAGAGTAGCTAGTTTAGGCTACATGAGAGCTTGTCTAAAAAAAATAAATAAATAAAAAGAGGGGCCAGAACAATGCTAAAGATATTAATGCCATAAAAGTCAGGGTGGAAGGATTTTTGCTGACATCTTGTGCTAAGTTTCTCAGTACTCAGATTACCAGCTGAGCCCTGGCTGTTCAAATTCTGGCCAATATAACAACAATTGAGTCTTCAGATGTGTGTAAGAGAAAATTGACAGCTAGGTTAAAGCCACAGCTTGATTAGGGATGCCTGCTTAATCAAAATGGCCTTCCCCGAGACGTTCTGACACTGCATTTCATCATCACTGCTGTCCCAGAGCCTCCAAGTCCCCCTTTTCCTACAGTGTTGACTGATCTTAGGACTGCACCTCTCTAGGGGATCAGCAAAGTGACACTGGCTGAGGCTGAGTTAGAAAAAGGCAACGCCTTTAGCTTAGTCTCTCTCTCCCCCGGAACATGTACGTCCCTTTGGTGTCATGAGACCTAGTGTGAGAAGTCCGGTTCCTAAGAAGCAGCCATGCTGGAGACCACATGTAGAGATCCAACTTCAAGGTGGAAGGAGGTACCCACTTCAGGCTCCAGATACTTGGATCATCCCAGTCCAGGTACCAGACATGTGAGTGAAGAAGTCCTTGAGGTGAAGCTTGATTCTAGTCACCATTCAACTGTAGCATCATAGAGACTTGAAGGCAGAAGTATTCCATTGAGTGCTTCCCACATACCCAACCACGGGAACTAGGAGATAATGAATGACTTGTTATAAGCAACTGAAACAATAAAAAGGTTTCTTTTTCAAAAGTAGAGGCTACTGATCTTTAAGATGATGGGTTTTGGAACTCAATAAAAAATATTTTAAGAACAGTGCATAAAAATTAGCAGTAAAGGTCATATCTGGTTAATATTTTCACATCTTTTTTCTGTAAGCAAATTTTTAAAGAATTAATAAACACTATAAGTTCATTAAAACTTTATTGTGGGTTATTAGGAATCGCATACCTACCTCCATGTATGAATTACCAACTACTCTGTGAAGAACGAGTACTGTCTTTGTGAAATGTGTTTACCATTCAAAGCATATTGAGCATATTTCACATGTGGTGCAGTGTACAGTCTAGAATCCTGCGTTAGGAGATTGTCCTTTTCAGGTTTGTGAAAACTTGCGCCTAGCATGTCTAGTTATGTGTATTCTAGGCTATAGAATTATTGTAAGAAATGATAGACATTCTTCTCATCAAAAGATTTTTCTCTTTTAAGGAAATGGGTCCTGATGAATATGAAGAGATGGAAGAGGAAGCTGAGGAGGAGGAAGAAGAAAATGACTCAGCAGACATGGACGAATCAGAAGAATCAGATGAGGATGAGAATGAATCAGATGAGGGTCAAGGGGAGGAGAGACGGAGGAGGGTCTTTGATGTGCCCATTCGCAGACGCCGCTGCTCGCGTCTCTTTTAGCTGCTGCTGCAGGAAACTCTGGAATGGCTCTTCTGTTAAATAGATCTGTCAATAATGTAAATAATTGTGCTCAGCATATAGCAGAATTAGCATGACTATTGTTCCAGACCTAGGTTCTCCATGACGCTACATTAGGAGTTGGATTGCTTTGGTTTGTTCTGTGGTTGTAGGTAGAGGAAGAAATGGGAATCTTATTTTCTCTCCCAGAAGTCAGTATAAGAGCAGTTCTGTAGGTGCAGAACAGATGTTTCTGTGTTTAAAATATTTTCTACTTTAAAAACAAAACAAGACACACAAGTGAAAGAAGAATTGTTTTGGCTGGGGATTTTACATGTAGCAGAAACACACAGACAAGGGTAGAAGGAAACTGTGACTGACTGAAAAAAAACCCTTTTTAGTTGTTTAGAAACGAAGAAAATTTGTAATTAGCTTAATCCACTTCATGGTTGTTAACATTTTATACTCACAGGAAACTAATTGACTAACTTGAATGGGAATAGTTGGCCCTCTCTTAGACAATCTGCCCTTGAATTTAGTCTTTGTCACACAAAGCTTGAGTTGCAAATTTTCATCCTTAACTTTTTGTCTTCAACATGATAACTTTGGACTTTAAAAGTTAAAGTTCTCACGCTATGACCTTTCTCACATTATTTACAGATTCATCATTTTAAATGTAGTTTGTTTGTAAAAGTATGTAGTGTTGTTAAAGATTCTTCACAACGTTTCATTGAGTCTAAATTTGTAAATACGCTTTCTGTTTTGTTTCTTTATATACATTTGTCTAACTTTGTGGTAAGTGATCTGAATTTTATGTTAGGGTTCAGGATATTTTCCTGAAACATTTTTTTTTTGTAATTATATAATTGAGAGTTTGGAATGAAATCCTTCAAGTGTCAAAAACTCATATTTTAAAAACGATTTTGTGTAAGTGCCTATTTCCCAAAAACGAGTATTAAGCCTTTGTCCTTACGATAGAAGATGGCATTGCTACTCGATGGCTGGCAGCCAGGGTGTGGTAGGTCCATTGTGAGTTGTCTGCTGGCTTTGATTATGCTCTCTTGTTCTCATCAAATTTCCTCTAAAACAGTTCTCTCATGGAGAACATTCAGGAAGGGAGAGCCCTATTCAAGGCTAAGTGTCTACTCTCAGGGACAATGAGCAAACTTGCCATTTTATGATGACAGATCAGAATATTGAGTCCTTTTCCTACTTATTTTTCATAAAACAGTACAGTCACATGGTGTTTCAACAACAGGAGCCAGCATAGTCTCATTTTGTGTACACCACATCTGTTGAATGTGTCATTTTCTCTTGTACTTGGTTAAATCTCAGGTTTTATTGTGGCCCCAAAACATACAAGATGTTGACAGTAAGTTGTCATCTGGTGACTGATCCAGAAATGAAATTAAAAGTGATCAAGGACAGTGAAGTAGGGGTGGAGTCACTAATGGCTATTGCTTATGAAGTCGGCCATTCCAGCCTAGCTCCACCCTCAAAGAACAAGAACGAATGTGACCTAAGTTGTTGGAGCATCTGCTTCACTCAAGGCAGTAGGTTAGACTAAGAAAGGTCAGCATCAGATCTGGAGAACCTTGTTATGACCTGATTCGACACAAATGTGTCCTCAACACCAGAATGACCACTGCCAAAGCAGGATTTGTCTGCAACATTGAAAGAGAAGACTGGACCTGACCAGGGTATCGAAGTTACTGAGAGCTCTGGGTGGTCTAAAATGACTCAGTAATTGTTAGCAAATGCAAAAGTGAGTGAAGAACCTGCAAACTCGAGTGTGAAGTAGCTGACTACGTTTTAAAAGCTGGAAAAGCTGATTGTGGAGGGCAGTTACTGCCAGAGCAAACCCTCTTCTTCCATCTAGGTTTGTAGAAAATCATCACTGTGCAAATATCAGAGAATGTAAGTCACCTGGCAGTACGGTCACCTGATGACTCATTTCTTGGACTATATCCCAGTTAAGTGATAGTATAACTATTATCAGACTGCCAAATACTGTTCAGGCTGCCCCTTTTTAAAAATGGACAGTTGTTTTCATTTAGGCATTGATAACAAAATACCTTATTTGCTTGTTTTGTTTTCCAAGACAAGGTTTCTCTGTGTAGCCCTAGCTGTCCTGGGACTCACTCTGTAGACCTGACTGGCCTTGAACTCATAGAGATCCACCTACTTCTGCCTCCCCAATGTTGGGGTTAAGGGCATGTGCAACAAAATACCTTTGATTGTAATTTACAATAGAAAAAGTAGCAGGCAATGATGACTCATACCTGTAACTCCAATTTGAAAGGCTGATTGAAGCAGGAGGATCATAGTGAGTTTGAGATCAGCCTGGGCTATAGAGTAAAACTCTCTTTTAAAAAAAGAAAAAAAATCTAGCTCTGTAAGCTGAGAAGTCTTTAAGTCCTTTTAAGGGCACTAGTCTCATTCATGAAGATAATCATAACTGAATCAACCTAACATCTCACATCTTCATAAAGCTGCTTTGTGGATAGTTTCAACATAATGCACCAGGAGGGGACATAGACATGAACATTCAGACCCCAGCATCAACCCACTTTAAAAGGACGTTCCCAATAAAGCAGTAATGTCAGAGCTGGCCCGATACTCCCTTGCCATTTTTCGTATCCCCTTTTCCCCTAGCGTGCTGATGATGCCCCCATTGCCTTGAACCCTATCTAATGCTTGTGTGTCACAGTGCCTCAAGATTGCTTAGCCACCCTTCAGAATTTGCTGCCTTGGTATATTACACAGACTTTGTTGCATTATTTTTCTTGGAGACAGGACAATAGTAGACCAAAGATTCCATTGAAGCCCAGCTTGATGGGCCCATAAGTTTATCAGGATTGCTAACAGGAGCAGGGATGACTGTCAGCTACAGTTGAGGAACAACAGCCTAGGTGAGGACTCACGAAAGCACCTCTGCATGTTTGAAGAGTTTCTTCTAGCAAGTGTGTACTGTTTATGTACCCCTGGAAGGGGTCTTCGGTCATAAATTTCCGAGTCGTCTACCTCCTCATGGAACAAGATGTTATTTAACAATAAGTTGTCATCAAGTGACTGACCCAGAAACGAAATGAAAAGTGATCAAGGACTGAAGGGGGAGAAAAGTCA